CTGGGGCTCTTCAAGCAAAAAAGATGGATTCCTACTTTCTGGGTATGCTGGAAGGCCATGAGTTGGACTGAATGGTCCCTGGAAGTATCGTCCACCTCAAATTCTATGAAATTAGCACCGTGTACCCTGGAGAAGAGACAGTGTGGAGGGGGGATACATACGGCAGCTATTTTTAGATATTTAAAAGGCAGTAAGGGGAAAAGGGAATTCTCTTTTGCAGGAGCAAAGAACTAGAAACTAAGGGTGTGTCCATCAACTGCGGAAGTGGCTGAACCCACTACAGTATGTGAATGTGATGGAAGCCTATCATGAGTGACGAAGGAGATGGTTTCAGACAAACCGGAACTAATGCAGAGTGAACAGAACCAGGAGAACAATTTTTATAACACCACCACCATGAAAACAAACAATTTTGAAAACCATTAAGCACTACGATCGAGGTAGTGAGCATCCATGACCCCAGAGGACTGATGCTCAAGCACGCTGCCCACCTCCCAACAGGGACGTTTGGACTCAGGGTGCAGAATGCGGTAAGTATTTTTCAGATGCAGTCAATGTGGGGATTTTTTTGGCTTGACTATGCATATCAGATAGACAGACAGAGATGAGAGAGAGAGCATTTATTAAGTGTTGATTGCAACTAGGCACTGTGATGGGTGCTAGGAATATAAATACAAGCAAAAGGAAATACAGTCCCTACCCTCAAGGATCTCACATTGCATGGGGGGAGACCAGAGGTAGAAGAGTCTAGAGGGTCAGGAGCTGAGCTGGGAGAGAAGTGGACTGTGGTGGGCCTAGGCACTTCCTCATGGAAGTTCTGGGCAGGAATTTACCGTGCGAAGAGACGCCACCAAGGCAGAGGCATGATGGTAAATGTTTAACAACTGGCTCTCCAAAACAACAACAATAATGATGATGGTAACAATAACGATAATTATAATTATATATATGTTTATATGTGACACACTTTCAAGTCGACTCTGCATCACTATCATTTTCTCTACCACTTATAAGTTTAGACAATCAACAAACCCATCGTTGGGCCCTGAGGCAAGGCCTTTGCCAATCTCCAAGGTGGGAGCACCCCTACCAACAAATTTGCCACCTGCCAGGTTCCAGGGGCTCCAGCCCACCTGGGGCCGAGGCATCTATAGGGGGATGTCACATGGGTTTTGTTTTTCTTTTTCTTTTCGATGGTAGTAAGGGAGGAGTAGGAGGGATAGAAAACCTATTTCTGTTCATGAACACTTTTCAAAATTTAAAATAGAAAGAAAAGGAACTAGACAGGTCTTCCTGACCCCAGAGGGCAGATCTAGGAGCCATGGGTGGATGTTGGGAAGAAGTAGATTTGGGCTTGATTCCTCCCAGTTAAAGCTGTCTATGAGGTAGATTAAGTATGTCACTGAAGGTCTTCACGTCAAGGGTGGACGACCATTCATGTGGATGTGGTAGAGGGGCCAATTTGCATGAGATCACCTCCAGGATGCTCTGATTCTACAACTGTCCTTGAAAGAAGACTCTTGGATTAAGAAAGTGTCTAAAATGGTGGGTATCTGCTCGCCATAGTTAACCAAGTGCCTGTGGACAAAAATCACAGGCTTTACAACCAAACTTGGCCTCTTAACATGTGGGGGTGGGGGTGGAGAGGCCCCATTTCCTAGCTGGGTACAATAAGGCACAAGAACAGGTATTTGTGATTACAGACTGCTGGACTTGCAGGATGGTGATGGTGTGGCACGCACATCCCCACACACAAAGGTTTTGAAGGAGGAAGAAAGAGTTTGGAAAAGATCCATTGGCAGGTGAGGCCACACATGCCTTCCTGCCATTTTGCTTTGGCGGGCTCTCCACAGAAGAAATTGAAAGAGTAGCAAGTGTAACTACAGGAAAATCAACCACATTAGAGCTTCCTGAGACATTAGCTGGTACAGTCCTTTGCACACGAAAAGAGGAATCTTCAAATGGTTACCACACGAGCCCATCATACCATTTTTTCAAACTAGACTCTAATGAGCAAAGGCAAACATGGAAAATTCATCATGCTCAATAAGACCGACTGTCAGATAGGACACTCTTCAGGAAAAATAGGCCCTTCGTGGAAGGAGGAAGGGCAAGGCATTTTCTAATCCACTGACAGACTCATTATTTGGAGTCCTTCTAGAAGGGCGCGACTGGAATTCCAGTTCACATTTCCCTCAAGACAAAATAAGAAGGGCCATTTGGCCTGGATGTTCCAAGCACAAAGGAAGAACACCCAAGAGTCTGCAACAGCAGGATTTCCTTGTTTTGCAATGATCCTGAGAAACTGTCAGAACTGGGTACTGTTTCTGGAGAGACAGCTGGGTGTGGGACATGAGGAAGAATTCTGTCCCAAATGGAGTGACACGTATATCAAAATGTCAGTGTCATGTTGCAATGAACATTCTTTTTTCAAATGATGAAGTATAAATTGCATATGAAACATCAATAGAGCTAGCTAAACATGTTGTGACACTATTTCCACGTCAGCACGTTAATTTCAGCACATACACCATGTTGGGTTTCCATCACCCCAACCTCCACTCCTCTGAGCCAATAACAACAGCTTCTCGACCTTTTCCTTTGGGGAGCATAAGGGAGCACAAGACCACTGCACAGGGGCTTCCTGGGGCTGGCCTGCCTCCTGACACGTTCCATCCAAACAAAAATACAACAATCCACAGCATGGAGTTGTTTGAAAAGGAAGTGAACATTCTCCCAAGCACTTTCTTTCACCGCTGTTCTTCGTTTGTGGGGAAATCTGCACACTAGCCGAGAGCTTCTGTCTGTAAATACCAGCCACATGTCTATGGCGTCCCCACCCCCACCTACATCCCACTTGCTCCCCCACCCCCTCTCAACTAAACTTGTGTCTAAATTACTTTCAGATTTCTGTGGTATCTTAAATAACTTCAATATGGGATGTATTTTCAACCTTCGGGTAAGTGGCTTCTCTTTGCCCACATGCTCTCCTTCCTTCCAAGCAATTTTAACTTTCCATCCTTCATGTTAGCCTCTCAGTAGGGTGCCCATCCAATAACACTGATTCGTGAGGTCTAAAGACATAATGTGAGGGATTATGAACAACCCTATCGAAACCACATACAGAATGACTCTGTCTTCAAGAATGAAAGAGGATTCCTAGTTTTCAAGATGTGCACTAGCTTTCCTTTTGTTCTTCCAAAAGCTATCTCAACAGTTCGAGACCCAGACTGAACCTCAGAATGGGACCGAATAGGAAGAGCATGAAAAGCAGCGTGAAAACATCTTCAGATCCTGTCTTGACCAGTGTGGCATGGTTAGCATGTCTAACCAACCTCACTCATAACAAGGGACTGAGAGACTCCCACAAGCCTAGAAGGCGTATACCCTTCCCTGCTGCCATGAAAGGCAGAAGATGCCTTCAGGAACCTTCCCAGAGGAACCAGGGAGTCCCAGTCCAGAAGGCCTCCAGGGTCCTTAGGGGGTGATCAAGCCCGTTCATTCCCTGGCCCAGAGGAGTGGCTGCATCTAAGTGAGGAGGAAGGCCCTCAGTTATTGGGGAACTGCCGCTCAGGAAACTTCTTTGTACCGTAGCCAGAATCCATTTTGGCTTGTTCTGTTCCAAACTTCCTACAAAGTTGTGATTTGATCAGCATCATTTCACCTGCTACCTGTGGGTTCCCACAACCTTGTCCTGTGCCTCAATAGACAACGATCGTGATTTGCTGTGGCCAAATCATCAATCAGGCCTCATCTTCTGACTCCTCTTGTGTTTCTCTCCCCTCTATCAGCTTCAATTCCTTCCCATACTTCACGTGAAGACCCCAAACCAAATGATCTTCTCCCAATACTGTGTCCACCACTGGACCATAAAGAGATGACAAATTATGGCTCCCAAAGCTTCTCAGTCCATGGTTTCCTGGTTTCAAAAGTATGACACACAGTGATTTGTGCTCTTTCTGCGATCACCTAGACCCCTTAAAAACCAGCCAGGACCATGTTACCTTGTGCCATGACGGACCACTTCAAATCCCTCTAGGGCCCACTCGGCTTCATTCTATCTGTTCCTGAATACTTTCCTAAGAGGACTTTTGACTACCATTAATTCCTACTGGTTAGCTGTATTCATTGAGAGAGCTAATGAAAAGATGTGTTTTAGATCCATGGTTTCAATTGACTGACCCCTGTGGTATCCAGGAAAGAATAAGAAATCAGATAGATGACATCCACCTGTGGTATTAACCCAAAGGGTAATGACTTACGGCCAGCTTGATGAACCCTGCTCTTTCCAAAGGCACACTCCTCGCTACCTACCTCACATTCCCTTCTCAACTTTTCCGACTGACTTTGTGTTCACTTTCCTAGCACCTTTCCAGTGTTTCACCGAGCTCAATTAAGCTTCCAGACCTAAAATCTCCAGGGTCATCTTTTTAAACACAGGAATTGGAAAAAATTGACCAAAGAATAATTTCATCCATTTTCTTAGGAACTCCAGGATGTGCGATAACAAAACCTCTAGTTTAAATAATCCTTTACCAGATTTCCCCAAACTCTAGTATGGCTCTTGATTTCCCATCCTCCTGGGAGAGCTGTTCCAATTTCTAGCTCAGGGTTCACTTTAGTGAAGTACTCTGAGTCCTGTCTTACCCATATTACCAATGTTTAAATTGAAGAATGACAAGCAAAAATCATGCCAGTATTTTCACTGGCCAGAGGAGTGAGGACTGGCTAACCGGATGGCTTAATGGCAGTCCTCAGCCCCTCAAATAACCATTCCCAGGCTTCCAGGTGACAGAAGACCATAAGAAAACACGCACTAAAAAGTGGCTACAAAAAATCCACCTAAATTGCCGACTTTGATCATGGTTTCAGAAAAGTGGGAAGGGTGTGCCTCCAAAAGAAAACAAGGATTATGGGCCACTTTAGACACGTGCTGTCCCTTCTGCTAACACACCGATTCCCTTGAGGACCTTCCCCATGCCAAGCAGACCGGCCCTTACCAACTCTTGAGAGTCCCGCTGCAGCGGCAAAAACGCGGCCTCCAAAATGGCAGTCTGGTCAGAGCTGAGCTTCTGCCACAGACCAATCAGCATGATCACCAGGTGGGTGGCGCTCTTCAGCCTGGTGAAGGACTGCAGCAGGTTGCTATGGTTCTCCTCCGCGGCATCTGCCAAGGCGATTACCTGCAGAAACAGAAAAGGGAGAACATCATTGTCATTGAGGAGCCCTGGACACCAACACATCTCCAGGCACATGCCTGCTTTTATCTGGGACAAGTCGATAAACATGGTCTTCCATAAATACGAGCCAGAGGGAGTAATAAATGGGACTGTCTACTCCCTCTGTTCGTGCTACAGCAAACATGTTAAAAGCAATCTCCGATCCACGTGGCAATGGGACAGAAGTAACACTTCCATGTTCGCATGGCTACTGCCACTCATTCATTCAGGGAGCCATCAACAGGCATTTGCTAAGCACACACATGCAAGTCGAGATGTCACCTTCCTGACATCACTGGTCCTCTTCTAGACTGAAGGACAAACAAGAGCAACCCAACAAAACAATCCCTGCCCTGGGGAGCTTATCTTTGATCTACAAAGACAACATGTAAAAAGACAAGCAAACAAAACTACAGGCAATTTCAAGGACAGAGGGCTGTCCTGACTGAGGAATCCGGGTAGGCCTCACCTAAGAGGAGATGCTTGAACATTCCAGAAATGGGGAACAAACGAGCAGGGCCATGGCAGAAAGGCCACGGCCAGAAGACGGCACGGCCAATCCAGCCTGGCTGGACTGCAGAGCAAAAGATAGGGAGGCCTAGGCAATGAGCTTGGAAAGACAGGCTAGGGCAGAGGGAGAGGGGCTTTAAACGCCAAAGAAAGGCATTTGCGTTTTATCCAAGACACAACAGAGAAGCACTGGGGCTTCATGAAGAGCGGAGCGATATGGCAAGGCCAGAGCTTTGGAACGTTAACATGGCAGCTGGGAGAAGGCCAGACTGGAGACTGGAGAGACCAGAGGCGGGGAGACCAATGGGTGCTACTGTAATTCTAGGTGAGAGATGCTGAGGAGCTGAACTAGGGTGGTGGCTTTGAGAATGGAGAGAAGGGGACAGATGAAAGAGGGTCCGTGGAGATGATAGAATTAAACCTATGGCAGAGGGAAGCATAATGGAAGTGGATGAGTTGGAAAACAGGGATGTTTGGAAGGATCACTGTGCCCTTGACACAAGCAGGGCATCAGTGACTTTCCAGACTGTTAGATTACTCTCAAGAACCTACCACAGTACAACTGGTCTTCCTTCATTTGTTCTAACTTTATGTTAGTCAGAAAAGAGAGAAGGTTTGGAAACAGGAAAGATCAGTAAACAAAAATATGTGCAAAGATAGTGAATTTCAAGGGCCCGAGGGCCACCCTGGCTGAGGAAGAGGGAATCTGGGTAGGTCTCACACAGGAGGCAGCACCTGCATTGAGCCAAGGTGGTAAGACAGGGAAGTGGGGAGTGCACATCATGGGAAGATGTCCCCTTGATATGCCGTGGCACCATTTGCAACACCATGTTTCAGGATCCCACCTGAAAGGTGGACGGAGATCCAAACAAAAAGCTGGCTGAGTGACATCATCTTTAAATGTCAGGCACTGGCCCCCAGTGACCGGCGAGGCAGAAGGCTCGGCTGGGTGTGTTAGCTTTCCATTGCCAAATCTCCTTAGGACAAAATTGGCAAGGCCGGTTTGGACTGTGGGTTTTTCTGAATGCTCGTGTGGAAAAAAAGAACTGAAAGCAACAACGAGATATCTGGAGCGGGTGTTTGATTTTGACGCCTCGGGGAGTCCTGTGCTCATTAAAAGGAATACGTGTACTCCTCCAAGAAGCAGTGCCCATTCCCCCCGCTGTCTGTCTTGCCAGAGCATGAGAAGATGCTGGAGAGGGACAGCTCTGAGGCCGGTGGGCCCTGAAACAACGAGCTTGTTGAAGAGTCATCAGGCAGGTCCCTGGCTGGGTGGGCCCAACTTCCTTGGGGGAGGGGGAGACACGGGGGGCTCAGCTTCCAGAGCCTCCAGAAGCCACACGGAGAATGAGGACAAGCTAGCCCTTCTAGGTCACCCTGGAGACATTAACTCATCGAAGTCCCACCACAGCTCAGGAAGGAAGTTGTTCCAAATCCTATATTATCCCCATAGTCTGTCCTATACTATTAACATTTTCCCCATTGCTTTCTTAAGTCTAGAAAATCAACAAAACAAAAATCACGCCCTGATTTGTAGCATTTGCCAATTTCTGAGGCCTGAATGTTCACGTTTTAACAATCGGCTCTTGTGAGCTGCCTCTGGCACGCCCCTGCTTAGACACAGAAGACACTGCACGAAAGGCCAATCTCTACAAAGGGACTCAGGGGGCTGAGCATATGGCTGGGAAGCTTCTGCCCTAAGATTTCCCTTTGCCAAATGAGACTAGAGGACGAGCCTTCCTCTTTCTACATGGGAACATCAAATGAACAGATGATGACATCAGGAAGAGGCCATTGCTGAATTCTGCCTGTCACTCTGTGCTGGCAGCTTCTCATTGAGAAGAACAGTCAATGGAAGAACCTGGAGGCCTAAATGGTCAGTGACATATTGGGTTCCTGCTTATCTGGAATGATGTGAAATGTGGGATTGGGACTGTAGATTTTGATCCAGAAGGGACTTTTAGCAGAACGATTTCCTTGAGGTCACTCAGATGATAAGAGCAGAGCCTGGACCAAACTGAGGTTCTCTGACCCCAAGTCTGGCAGCTCTTCCTTCTGCTACCCACCATGATCTCAAGGCAAGTGACAGCTAGCATGGTGGGCTGTTTCTGCATGAAGACCCAGGCATCTTCATCCAATGCACCAGTACTGGGGTGGCCAGCTGGTGAAGCAACATCCCAGGACAGAGCACCAGTCCTGAGCAGGCCCACCAAAAAATAATGATCTACGAAGCATACTATTCAGTCTTTCTCTTTTCTTCCATTTTGTTTTGTTTCCTCTTTCTTGTGGTTCCTCCTATTGGTTCTAATTCTTCCTTATAACATGACTAATGTGAAAATATGTTTAATAGGAATATGTATATATAGCCTATATCAGATTGCATGCTGTTTTGGGGAGGGAGGTGGGAAGGGAGGGGAGAAAAATTTAAAACTCAAAAGCTTATGGAAGTGATTGCTGATAATTCAAAATAAATTAATAAAAAATAAGCTAAAAAAAGAAACTTTTTCAGGGAAAAAAGCTAATGTAAATACGATTTTTAAAAAAGTAATGATCTAGGAGGAGTCTCAGGATGCCTCACGCCATCTAAAACTAAGCAGGGGCGGTACAGGGTCAACCACAGAAAAAGCTGTTTGTCCCCCAAAAGTCCCAGAATTGGGTAAGAAAAGAATCAAAGAACTCTGTGTATATCACCTGGAGTAAAATCCCCCTGGCCTACACAAATTCACCAGCTGTTGGCCACACTCTCCATTGAAAGGTGCTGATAACATCTACATTGACTTGGTTATCCAAGAGAGCCAAGTGAACTAGAAGAGAATGGGCATATTCTAAAGGACTGGGATCTTGGGACTCATTGCCACAGCTCCTTCTGACATGGCACTGGGAGATCACACAGTTCACCTTGAACCCAGATACGAGGCTGACCAGCTGCTAGGGCTTGGCTGTGGAGTGTGGCGTGCGCGCGCGCACGTGTGTGTGTGTGTGTGTGTGTGTGTATGCAGGCTTGTGCACATTCTCTGGGTACCAGAGGATACAGCTATCAAGAACCTTAGGAAACAATGAATGCTAATGACTTCAAACACAATGCCCAGAGCTGTCTTTGGTTCCCGCCTCCAAATCTAATGGAAAGCCCAGAGGACATGTCCATGTCCAAGTGCCATATTGGCAGATGCCGAAGGATGAAGCGGCGCCCGCCCCCACCCAGGGAGCTGCTCGGGGGAAAAAGCTGGACTGACTCATAAAAATTGGTGTGAAATTAATCCCAAATACTTCCAGCTGCCAAGACAGGCTCTAAAATTGGTTACAGAGAAGCAGCGGCAAAACAGACATGAGTCACACAATAGTGAACCTGGCCAGGGCCGATGCCTTCACCCAAACTTCACTGCCCATTCTGTCACCAAGGTTGAGAGCTGGGAGAGACGCTAGGGTCCCCGTGATCCAACCCTCCCACTTTACAACAAAGGAAACAGAGGACCCTACAGGCTGAGTGACTCGCCCAAGGTGGAGGAGTTGCCCAAGGAGGAGCCTTGAAGGCTTCCCACTTTCCATGCTCCCCGTTAGGACTGGGACTTCAATGGGCCTGTACAGACAGGGAAAGCATTCTACCTGCTGGAGCTCCTTGTTACCTCTGTCAGTCACTTAAAACTGTGAAGTCGGAATCTCTAAGGTTTCTTGCCCCAAATTTCTTGCTCACCAGAATTACAGCCTCCTAACTGACCTCCTGTAATCCAGTCTCTTCCTTCTCCAATTGGTCCTCCACACACTGATGTTTCCAAAGCACAAGGCTTAGCCACGTTCTTCTCCTGCTCCCAAAAGCTTCCCTGACCCCCTATCATGCCTAGGGTGAAATGCAAAGGTCTTGGTCTGGGATTGAAAGTCATCCAACAGCTGCCTCAAGATCTCTCTGGTTTCCCAACCTCCCCAGGGGCTTTTGTCTTCACACATTCTATGTTTCTTCAAAGCCATGCTACTTTCTGTTTCTTGTACCTGTCATTCCATTTCCTACCCCTTTGCCTTTGTCCAAGCTGCCTCCCAGGCCTGAAATGTTCTTCCTCTTGGAATCCCTACCTCTCTTTAAGACTCACCTGGAATAATAATTCCTACTTCAGGCTTTTCCCGATTCCCTAAGTTGTGAGTGGAGCCCACCTCTAAGTCACTTTGCATCTACTTCTTATATTTTTTTATATACTTATCAGTATATGTGTTGCATTATTTGGGAAAGTATAATTTCCTTAGAGGCAAAGTGCCCAGACCAGTACCTGCTTAATTGATTTATTTGAGTCAAAGAGAAATTAAATTCCTTTAAAAGGATGGAAATTTTAAAGAATTTTCCTTTCATAAAAACAATAGGGTTGGGTTCAGGTTTTTTTGGGGGGAGGGGGAGGCTGTTTTTGTCATTCTAAACAATTCAAAATTAACAAAAGAACTGCTACCAATATCACAGATCTCCTCTTTAG